TGCTCGGTCCCGCAGTTTCTTTGACAGGCCGTATGCCTCACTTATGGTGACCGCATCCCATCCTGGTTGTGAGCGTATATGGTCCATACACTGAAGAAGTGCTTCTCGGGTCTCCCAAACCGCGTTCACAGTTCTGCTTTTAAAGTTCCATCTCACAGCCGGTGGCCGTGGTATGCGTCTCTGTGTTGCCTCTGCAAGAGCTGCAACACGTTTTGGAGCACCGGAGAAAACAGTGGAAAAAGCAGTTAGATCTGCAAAAAACACCTTCAGGATGCTCATCCTTGCTGAACACAGTTGCTGCAGGGTCAGGTTCAGTTGGTGGGCGTAGCAGTGAACAAACTGAGCGTTTGGGTACGTCTCCTTCATGACCGTCTGTACCCCGCGCACGTTACCGCTCATGACGGCCGCCCCGTCATAGGTCTGAGCGATTAGCTTTTCTTTCAGCTTCAGGGGTTCAAGAACAGCCTTGATGCTGTTAGAGAGACCTACACCAGTTTTGTCCTTTACTTCCACAAACTCCAAAAAACGCTCTGTAACTGTGAGGTCAGGCATAATGTATCGCAGCACAATCACCATTTGCGATTTACATGAGACATCGGTTGTCTCGTCCGCCTGAACGGCAACAAATGATGTGTTGTCCACTTGCTTGGATATTTCCTCCCTGTACACATCATACATGCAGTCCAAGAGTTCATTCTGTATGGTGCTTGATGTCCCTTTGAAAACGGGCTGAGCTTCGTAGTGCCGTCGAAGCCTGGAATCGCCCTCACACATTGTCTCGAAAATTGACCTGAATATCCCTGGATTCAGAGAGTCCGCCGACTCGTCGTGGCCCCGCAGTGCTGTCTCACATTTCCCACACAGTTTAATACAGGTGATGATCCGACCCAACACGTACCTGTTTTCTTCCACCTTTCTATTATGATCATCAATGCCGCGTCTGTAGGCGCTGTCAATCTGAGCTGCAACATTCACCCTTCCCAGTAATCCCAATTTTACGGCATTTTCCAAGTGACTGTTGCTGCTCTCATGCTTCATTGTCCTCTCCGAAAGATGCTTTAAGTCCTTGTAACCTGTCCTCGACCAAGTACCTTGATCTTCACCAAAAAGCAGGCAAGGAAAGCAAAAGAGGGAATTCTTCTGGATGCTCGCCGTTAGCCATTTCTTTTTAGCAAACCACTCAGCATTAAACCCGCGGTTCACTTTGCCCGCAGTCTGGACCATTTGGAAATCCGGTGGATGGTGGGCACCGAGGCGCTTTACCTCCAGTTTCTCTCCGAGACTAAGTGTCTCAAATGTGTGCTCCAGTAAATGGTCAACTTCATTCATTTTCTTTCCGTTTTTTACTTATTTTTAATCGCTGGTGATGTTAGCTATATGCTGCTCTCTCGTCTTCTCTTCACACTACACGTGACGTTTCGCAGCACTGCACACGTGACATATTTACAGCCAATCAGTTCTGAATAATGTGAGCTGACGTATGGTGGGGATGGCAGCTCTGTGCCCCTTTGACCTTTTTTTTTTTGCCACACACATTACATTGAAAAATACTCTGAGCATGCGCAGTGTAGTTTTTACAGTCACCGTTCACTTAAACAGTGAGAGGGAGGGGCAGAATCAGGTTTTGTCCCACATGGCTCAAAACGGCACTGTAGACACTAATTAGAAGAACACAGACTAAAACAGCAATGTACAGACGAATCAGATGATTAAACATGACCTTAAAATATATTTTATATCTTTTTTTATTTCTTTTTTTACATCTTTTTGCATTTTTTATTTTCATTATGTGTAATACTTTCTGCTGACACTAGGTGGGGCTGTGCCCCACCTGCCCCTAATGACCAGTCGCCACTGGTCATTACACACACACCGCCTCCCTTACTTTTCCCCGAGTTTGCAGTCCGGTCCTGACGGAAAATAGAGAATCCATCAGGGACAATGGCGGAGTCCGGGATAGCGGGGTTGAGCCAAGTCTCAGTGAGAATTAATACGTTACAGTTCTTAATGTCCCGTTGAAAAGCAATCCGGCTTCTGAGTTCATCTAGCTTATTTTCAATGGATTGAACATTAGCCAGAAGAATACTCGGAAGAGGGGGCCGATTCTCTCGTTTCCTCAGTCTGACCAGCAACCCGGCCCGGCATCCGCGCTTTGTCCTCTTCTTGCGTCTCTCAGGTAGAACAGCAACAGGTAGCCATGGTGAATCTCCATTGTTTGTCGGAGGGTTATTATTGTCCACGAAGTTTCGCAATTGGAGAAGTTCCTCTCTGCTGTATTGTATGGCAGAGTAGGTGCGATCGGCTAGCATGTTGCGAACCATGTTAAAAGTAAAACGGCAAAAGTGAAAAAAATATGTACAAAATACGAAAATGGGCAAAGTTGGAGGGGAGCACAAAGACGATGCGGCCATCTTCACCGGCGCATCTTTCCCTTGAGGGGGTTTCCCGACATGTCGTTGCAGTAAATTAAAGGGTGTTTCATGTTGTCGTTGCTGTGGACCTTCTTAATCTACTTTCTTTGGGGGCCCCCTTCTGGTCCAAGCACTTGCCTGCCTTGCCTGTCGGCAAACGGCGCCCCTGTAATATACACACACACACACATTCAATGATTCATACATCAATCTCAATCTCAATCTTTATTTATTTATATAGCACATTTAAAACAACCTTCAGTTGACCAAAGTGCTGTACAGGCAATACATATTAAATAACACAATGGGAGTACAATAATAAAACAATAATTAAAAACATGATAAAAAGCACAATAACTAGAAAAATATATTAAAAAATACAGTATGATGGCTTGAACTAGTGGGAGAAATGGCACTGTTTGTCTGTAGCCAATGCCTTGAACCTCGGCAAAAAGGCACAATCAGACACGCGTCAGACACAAGACGCGCGTACACAATGATGTACATATATTTATCAGAATCAGATTTTTTTTTTTTTTTTTATTTTTTTTTAATAATCTTTTCTTTTTTTTCTTTTTTATAATGGGAGACAGGGTTCGGTCCGGATTGATTTGCAGTTCGGTCCGGATCCGGACCTTGGTCCGGAGTTTGAGAAGCCCTGGTTTATTGTATCATTACTATGGGTCTCTGAAACAATCACACTTTTACCACACCGTTATCAGACTTTTATCAGACTTTTAGCACTCTTTTCCCCGCTTAAACGACTTTAAACCATCAGTGTCACTATTGTGGGGATGTAGGAATGTACCTGTGTCTGGTGCAGAGCCTCCCTGCACTTTAAATCAATTGATTTGCCTTTTTATTTATCTTATTTTCTACTGTTAACCTGTTTCACGCCTTCCCCCCGGTACCGGGCGGATAAACGCGTCATTTGCAGGAAACAACGTCTAAGGAATCTTAATATTGAATAAAACTATGAATGTGTTATATCCATGTAACGGGAAGAAACTCAGCTAACTGATCTTTTTAATTTTTTTTTTCAAAAAAAACCCACAATGCTAGCACTCAGCCTCTGAATTAGCCTCGATCGAAAAAACGGGACCGACAAAGACACATAAACTCACTCAGAACTCCCTTATTACTTATCCTAGATGCACAACCAAACACTATTTTTTGGTGTCCTGGAGACACTGAATCTAACGGTGCCCACCTCAACACTCAGTGATAAACATTCGCGACGCTATCAACGAAAGCGTACATCATCACATGTGGAGCCAAGAAGCTAAACATATAAATATGGCTTACCTTGGTCAAAAGTGGTCTTCAATGGCATTAAAACGATAAAAAAACGATGCTGCAGTTAATCCATAGGTTCATCCTATGTGTCTGTGCCTTCTTTGAAATTATTTCTGATAATCCATAAGCAATACAACTGCGTTTTAGTTTCCAAACTCCAGAAGCAGACATTCCTCCAGTTTAGTTTCGCTTTCCACACGCGAAGCGGCAACATTTTTTCTTTACAATGTGTGTCTATGTAGGTATCCTCCTTCGATTCTATTGGCTCTAACGGTCACAAGGGTATGTCAACCAACCAGATCGAGCAAGGGGGGCCAGAGATAGGTCAAATCCACCCAAATGACCCCAGATGGCCCAGTTTTTGGCTAAATCTCTCTAAAAAGGTCAAATTTCACTTGTTTTGCATCAATCTTGATACAGGGTACTTATTATATGTTGTACTTTGGATTCCTAAAGCTTTTAGTCTACTAACCCATCATCCAAGGGTAGTTTTCACTATCTGTAAAAAATAATTTTTGGACGGACACTATAATTTACAGTTTTTTACTATGTAAAATCTGAATTTTCTTTAAAATAAAAAACATTTATATTGATTCTGACACTTCTACATCCAACTCACAGGTTTATCATTACTTTGAGAAAAGATTATTAATTTAACCCTTTTAGAAGGGAAGATATGGTCATTTGTTCTGGGAATGTCATTTTCGAGCCTGAGACCTGAAAAACAGGCTCAGAGTGGAACAGGTTAATGCACTGTGCTCATGTCGGGTGATGCGCTCCCTGGAGCCCTCCTGTGGGAAAACTTGGAACTGCACTTAAATCACTTGGTGCTTTTTAAGCCATTTAAAATAGTCTTTCTCACTTTTAAAATACTTTCTGCCCTAGAAATGATTTTTAATCAGTATTACCATTATTTAGGGGCTTTATGAACACGAATTTGAGCATCCCTGCACACTTTCCTCCTATTTAAAACACTTTTCAGTGAGGTGCTGCAGCCTGCTTCTCCTGTTTCTCTGCCCCTATTTAAAACACTTTTCCTCCTAAAACACTTGCTAGAGGTGAAATCTCTATTTCAGCCTTGATTTTGGCACATCTTGTAAATTAGTTAAATTTAGCTTTGTGTTTTTATTTAAGTCGCTGTTCATTGTTTGTTATATAGGCTAAAGCAGCTTTAATTATATCCTGGACGCTGATGTGTGGATGTTGTGTCCTTTTGTTAACTATGTTGAGCTTGTTTTTAGCTGCATGTCTTTTTCTATCTCACTGAAAAAAGTCCCTGTGTGTGAACTGGTTCAGCTGATAAGGCTGGTTATGAATCAGAGGGAGGAGCTGTAGACAGAGAGGGAAGTGAAAGTTTGAAGTCAAACTGCCAGACGCCATTTTACAGCTCGACACGAGGAGAACAACAGGGTGAGTGTTAACACCAGGATCTGCTTTCTAACACATTTATTATTTACTCTGTCAAACTGGATGTCAGAACATAACTTCTTGGTTAACAATCTGCGTCCTAGAGTCCAATGAGACTTCTGCAAGTGCTGCACTTTTATTATTTCCTGTTTTCTGATTAGTCAGAGTTACATAACATGTGACAGCCCAGCGCAGACAAAATGGAGAACGGCCTGTCTGAAGTCTGACTGATTTAATGTGTTTTAACCAAGTATATTATTAAGATGGTTGTGTGTGTGTGTGTGTGTGTGTGTGTGTGTGTGTGTGTGTGTGTGTGTGTGTGTGTGTGTGTGTGTGTGTGTGTGTGTGTGTGTTACTGGGCGTGTGTGTGTCTTACTGGGCGTGTGTGTGTCTTACTGGGCGTGTGTGTGTGTCTTACTGGGCGTGTGTGTGTGTCTTACTGGGCGTGTGTGTGTGTCTTACTGGGCGTGTGTGTGTGTCTTACTGGGCGTTTAGACAGTAGCTGGTCCGCATGAGCTCAGCCCCCTCCTTTTTTATTTGACCAACTTCAGCACTTTAGAAACAGGAAGTGAAATAGAGGGATATGAGGCATGGCTAGAATGGGTGATCTGTTTGGTATTTTGAGCAAAACACTTCATACACATGTTTCTTATATATTTGTATATATCTGAGACCTATGCTATTGCCTAAAAATAGCATGATAGGTGACCTTTAAGATACACATATCTTTACTGCATCAAAGAGAGGACACATCTTTCTTAATCACTTCATAAAAGAAAAAGAAAAACATGTTTGAAAAAGTAAAATGTTTGGTCTCCATGCATAAATAATAGGATACATTATACAGTAATATAATAAAAAAACAACATTGTGTGGCAGAGAAAAATAGGGAAATGATCATGTGGACGAGTAACGAAGGATTTCAGGGTTTTTAAAGAAGCCCTGAGAGACAAATGTGAACTAAAATATTCTTATGTCATTTTGACATCTGATCTAAAAAAGTGTCTTGTAGGACGTTCAGCCTTGTGTAGCTAGAATTAGTATAACATCAACAAACATTGTCACCTGTTTTATGAATGATTTATTTTTTACAAGTCGTTAACACAGGAGAGAAAGACCTAAGAAAATGGATCAGCAGAATTAAAATGTCTCACTTTTGTCTTAGGGCTTCCTGTAACCCAAGAGCAAAACGCTTCTCAAATAGACTTTATCATATCAAAATCAAAGTAGTATCTCACCATGTTTGAACACACCAACACAATATTGCCAGAGAGCAATTACTAGTAAGATGTTCCTGTTATTTCCCCAGAAATTGTCTGTAAATGTACTGTAAATAAGTAAGGCTGATATTCCATCACTAATGCATTGTACTAATAAGTTTGTGTGTGTGTGTGTGTGTGTGTGTGTGTGTGTGTGTGTGTGTGTGTGTGTGTGTGTGTGTGTGTGTGTGTGTGTGTGTGTGGTGTGTGTGTGGTGTGTGTGTGTGTGTGTGTGTGTGTGTGTGTGTGTGTGTGTGTGTGTGTGTGTGTGTGTGTGTGTGTGTGTGTGTGTGTTACTGGTTTCTCTCTCAGACTGAACAAGATGAGTGATTTTAAAGATGAGGAAGAGGACAAATCTTCAGTCTCCAGCTGTCTGTCTCTGAAGAGTGAGCGGTCTATGGGTCATCCTCCAGCCTTCAGTAATGAACCTGGACCCTCAGACACAAAGTAAGAGTTTCTCCTGTAAACTGACCTGAAGAGGATCCAGTTTGTTGGTATCTGATCATCTAAACTGTTTAATGAAACCCAGTAGAGTACATTAACAAAGTTGAATTGATCTCTTGCTTCTTGTCATCATCAGAGATAGTAAATGATCTACTAGTGAAATCATCCTCACACTCTACATCAGGGCTATTCAATTGGCGGCCCGCGGGCCAAATCCGGCCCCGGGGTGATATTTACTGGCCCTTTGAGTATAATGTTAAAAAGTCATACATTTTTTTTTTTTAAGATTTTTTCTTTTTTTTTCTTTTTTTTTTGTGCCATAGTGCCTTTATTCCAGAGAGGGTGTTACATTGAGAGATAGAGGGGTAGACAATGCCTGAAAACTTCGACGGGCTCGGGTTTCGAACCCACCTACTATACTGTAGTGACAACTCCTGTCATTGATTGCATCTCTGCGTGAATGATTAGATCATTTCACCTAAATGAAATCAAATGAAACATGTAGGCCTACTGAGTTCTGAACTTGCCATTTAGATCTATAAAGGCCTTGGGGCTATGTTGTTTGATTGAATTAAACACAATATATGCACTCCACTATGCTGTTGTAGTATTTACTGTATCTGAAGCTCTTAATATAATTGCTCATATTTCAAGCCATCTTTTTCCCGGCCCCTTGCTTTGGATCATTTTCATCAACCGGCCCCCATTCCAAACTAATTGAATAGCCCTGCTCTACATGTTGGACTTTGTGTTAAATTAAGCAAATAAAATGCAAATATGTAAAACGTTTCACACTCGAATGAATTTTAACAACAGAAACCCACAATCACGACTCAACAACTCTAAACATCTTTAATAAGGTGAACAGTCATAGATCAAAAGCTGCTCTTTAAATAAACTAATGATGTTTAAAACATGTGTTGTTTCCACAGACAGAGAGCAGAGTCTACGGTCTCCATGTGGTCTCTGAAGAGTGACCAGTCTATGGGGGACCCTCTATACTTCAGTGATGAACCTGGACCCTCAGACACAAAGTAAGAGTCTCTCCTGTAAACTGACCTGAAGAGGATCCAGTTTTTATGTAATCTAATATATTAAACTGTTCTTTAATGAAATCATGTGAGCAGTTTGTAAAGGGAAAACGCAGCAGAGTAAGCTAACATTATCTAAGGATATTTCAATATGCAATTATATTATCATTGTATCTGTGTATAAAATGGTTTTAAATAGCAACAATGTTGATAAATACTGATTTAAAAACTATATATATTGTCCAAAACATTATTAAACTACTTGGGCATATCTATGATATGTCTTTTTAAGATGTTTATTAATAATAGTGATAACCTGGTGAGCTGGTTGTGTTTAGCATTAGCAGATAAAACAGTGTTTTGTGAAATCACATGTAGAGTCAATGCAAAGACCCAGATCCGTGCCTGGCAACACGAAGGAAGTGAAGATGTTAAATTCATGTCACCTGCGTATTCGTGCAGCGTGACACATTTCAACTTGAGTGTAAAGTTTGTGACGCTCTGTTACAAAAACCTGTCAGTGTTGAGATTGTGCTCCTGTGGTCTCTGACGGTCTGAGGGGAACATTATAAAATGTTATGCTCGTTGTGTTGGAGACAGACCTGACAAAGCATTAACTCAGGCTTTTTACAAATCAGTATCATTCTGTTGTTACTTAGGCATCCTTTCCATATGTTTACTTCTATGAATTCACAGCAGATTCTATGCAAGTTGGGTTTATAGTGTACCAGGTTTGTGGCGGCTCAATCCCCAGTTGCGTTTGAGTCGCCGAGAGGCTAAACTTGGCTATAAACTGTGATGCGTTTTCGAAGAGAAAGTCCATACTGAAGCAATATAGTTTTTGGGATATTTAATAAACAAAATCATAACATGGACAAAACGGTCAACAGAAAAAATGACAGCACAAGCTCACCCTCTGTCATCCGCACTCGACATGAAACAGGTGACTTAAATACACAAACCACACCCATGTGACGATTACCGGAAGTGCTCAACAAACAAATAAAAGTGATGTAAACAAATAATAATACAAATAATGAACTTGGGCTAAGTAGCATTATGGCACCTACAATACCGGCCCCTAATTATCATTTCACAAAATTATAATTACACTATAATAAATGACAATACACACAATATACGTCCATATCTCTTTCTTGAATTCTTTTTGTTCAGAGTTCATAAATTGCAGTCTTTTTGGAAAAGTGATCTTTACTCACTAATCAGTATCAGTAAAAATGCTTGGTGTGGTTTGTGTGTGTGCAGGGGGCAGGGGGCAGGAGACAAAAAATAAAAGAAAAAAGACAAAAAATAGTCCGTTTAGACTTGGAAAAAGTCCTCTGCCTCCTGAAGAAGGCTAACTTCGTTAATTGGTCTGCTCAAGAAACCAGTCTTGGTCTTGATCCGAAGCATACGTACGAGTCCCTTTTCTTCTTGTTTGCCACCATGTTCTCCATCCGAGGGATCTCAATCCTCTTTTCCTCTGTGGCTTTTTAGACTCTTTAATCGTTGGCTTCTATATATTGACACTATTTCCATATTCGCACCAACATTTCATTAAGCTGGAAAAAAGAGAAAAGGAGGAGTTTGAAACGTCTCTCAAATTTGACTTGTTCCAAACTAAGATGGCAGCCGGAAGTGTAAACCTGTCTTATTCTTCTTCCTCGTTGGTTTCGCTTGCAATTTAATATCTTGTAGTTCCTCTTTGATAACATGTTTTTCTGCTTCCATTCCTGGTGCTTTTTTAGTGTTAATCTGGATTTCAAGAGCCTTATAAGCTTCTTCTTCTTGTGAAAGTTCACATTTCAGGTTTGACATTTGGCTCATTAATCCGTGTACCTTCAGCTGTTGACTGGCAATTTGTTTTTCAAGCTGCCCTCTCTCTTTAGCTTCCCTCTTCCTTCTCTTCTTATGTTCCTTCATCGATTTAGCTTCCTTCCTCACCTCATTCTTTTGTTCCTCCTCTATTTCTCCACCTTTCTCTTGCTCAGGCTCACCGTCTTCACTGTCAATGGGAGCACGGATAATTCTCTTGCTCTTCTGGGCCCCTTTCTCTTTCCTATCACCCTTCTTTTCTGCCTGTTCAGTGTCCATCTCCTCTCCGCTGAAAGCAGATAAGACCAGCGCTTCGGCCATGTTTACACTTAATGAAGTTTTGTCCCGAGTATCATCAGGACATCCTCCTAATGGTCCACTAACTGTCCATCCGAGCATGGTTTTTTACGGCATAAGGTCCATCCCCCACACTCCTGATTACATCAATTGGTTCAAGGGCTTTTGGAACATCTGAACCAATCAGCAACTCAATTTCAGCGTCAATTTCAGGTAGACAAACATCCCTCAAATGCAACCATTGATTGATGTCGGTTTGACGTGGAATGTTTCCTTTGTGCACGGGCATAGTCTTCTGAGTGTATATGCCGGGGAGATCACAAAAGTTGCTGTTATGCAGTCCAGCAACCTCTAGGCCTGACACAATGCTGGTTTCAACGACCTTCCTTTGACCCATAGTTCTCAGCAGAATGTTTGACCTTCTTCCTTGGAGGTTAAGTTTGTTCATAAGGCCTAATGTGCAAAACGAAGCAGTGCTGCCTGGGTCAAGAAATGCATAGGTATGCACTGTTGTGTTCCCCTTTTGGGCTTTAACTTGGACTGGTACTATGGAGAGTTTGCAACCATCTTCACCGGCCCCAGTAAGGCCACCTGTCTGAATTGAGGCTTCAGCAGTGTTTGCCGATGCTTCTTCCATTTCCTCTTGCTCGTTTTCCATTTCCTTCCTTTGTTGGTAGATGTGCAACATTCTGGGATGATTTAGATTGCATATGTTGCACCTCATTCGTTTCCTGCAGTCTCTACTTATGTGTCCTTTACACAGGCAGCCAAAACAAAGACCATTTTCTTTAAGAAATGTGATTTTTTCATGATGTGTCCTCCTTCCTAACTGTGGACACATCTCCAGAGCATGTTCACATCCACAATACAAACAGTTTTCTACAGTGCTTCTGTCATATTTATTTTCTGTAACCTTCACGTTGGTTGCAAAGATGCTTCCACTTGGATGAGGCTGTGGCCTACTCATGTCTTTGCTTACGGGAGGGGGGTCTTTAATGTCCCCAAATATGGGATCTGTAGCAATTTTTACTTGCCTTTCAAGGAATTCCACAATATCCTTGAAGGCAGCTCTTTGGTGGTGTTTTTCCTGGATGTCACATGCTACAGTTCTCCATAAATCCCTCAGCCTATATGGAAGTTTCTTTAAAATGGCTAGCATGTTTGCTGGAATGTTGAGCTCAAACATGTAGTTTATATCTTCCATCGCATTGCAACATCCTCTAAGGTAGACCGTGTATGCCTGTAGAGCCCTTGTGTCCTCAGCCCTTATTAATGGCCATGAAAGAGCTCTTTCCATGTATGCTGTAGCAATTTTATGTTCATTGCCAAAGTTTTGTTGTAGTAACCATTTGGCCTTGCTGAATCCACTGTCTGAGGCCATATGTTGGCAACTCCGTACAAGTTCTCTGGGCAGTCCTGTTGTATATTGCTCCAGGTAGTAGAGGCAGTCTCTGGGGTTATTGTTTTTGCTTTCAATATTGAATTCGAAAGATCTCATAAATGTGTGGTACTGAAGTGGGTCACCATTAAACACTGGAATGTCTTTCTTGGGCATGGATGATAGACACTGTTGCTGGATTAATAAAGCGGTTATTTCATTTTGTTTTTCCATGACTGAAAATATATTGCACTTGTCACTGTTGCTTGTGGCAGTTACTGGATCTGGAGATGTTACACGTAGATGTTCATCTAGATTCCTGATGCCTGCATTGGGTGTTAGGGGAGCTGTATCAATGTTAGTGACAGCTCTGTCTGTGGTGGTTATGATTGGTTGTTTTAATGTTACAAACTGTATTTCCCTTTGTCCCGTTTCAAAATATGACTGCATGCCATTGGATGATATAGAACAATTAACTGATCCCCTGGGGGCTGCTAACACTTTCATTTTTGCAATGGTGGCAGCAATGTTTCCTTCTAATTCCATTTGCTCCTTTTTCCTCCTCAATTCCTGCTCCTGTGCTTCCAGGACATGTTTGTCCTTTAGGAGTTTTTGCAGTACTTTCATGGCTGCCACTTCGGCCTCAGCTTTTATGTGTGCAGATGCGGTGCTGGAAACTCTTGATCTTGAGCTTTGCCTGATTTTTCTGCTACCAATGTTTGATATGCTGTCACCAGGTTGTATATCATCTTGCGTGCATGATGTAGCCTTCATGTTTGACGGGGGAAAGAGAACGTCCTGCTGAGCCTCAGTGTGTTCAAATTGCTCCTTTACATTGGCAGGTGCCTCGTCTGGTAGAATGAGAGGAATATCTGTGTTTGCTGCGATTGGTTCATTGGCAGTCACATGACCTGTTTGCAGAAAGGGCCTCCTCCCAGTTTCCAAGAGCCATTGTTGTACATCCTCCATAACATCATTGTTATGTTTTGTTATTTGTTGAAACCAGTTATTTTGTATTTCCAGGTCGTCTTCGGAAAGCAACATAATAACTGATTCATGTGCTGTTTTTGCATTTTCATATTGATGAATTAATTTGTCCAGTTTGAGTTTAACATCCTTTGCATTTTCATCATTTTTCATTAGATGTTTAATTTCCTGTGTGCGTCCTTTAATCTTCTGCACGTTTGACTGACATTCTTTTTGCAGTTGTTCGATTTTGCAAGCCAAGGCTTTACTAGTAAGCTTGACAGTCCTTTTTTCCATTCCATCGTTTGTGTCACTCATATTTGATGCAATATGTGTGGTGCCTTAGCATTTAAAGTAACACGACAGTGTTCACTGGTATGAAACTTAAACCAGCGGGGCCCGCCCGCCACAGCAAAACAAACAATTCAAAAACTTCCGCCGCTCACGGCATAACAAGCGCACAACAAAAGCCAAAGTCCCCAATGGACAAACGGTCACGTTTCCCAAACTGTGTCCAGCAAAATACACAAGAAAGGATATAATCGTGCCTACCGCTTTCAGCTTGTTGTGCGCTGCAGTCAATGAGTGTCCATCAGTGAGTCCTCGTGGCTACTCCAATCCATATCGATTAGGGAAAAACGGTCCGAAGGTTCCAAAGGTACAGAATGTTAAGTCCGTTATCGGAAGCGTCCAAGCGATCCGTAAGCTTAGGAAGCCAGCCGGTCCGTCCAGTTCAGTCTCTGATGCGAAACACCGTTTTTTCTGTTGACTTAATGTGGCGGCTCAATCCCCAGTTGCGTTTGAGTTGCCGAGAGGCTAAACTTGGCTATAAACTGTGACGCGTTTTCGAAGAGAAAGTCCATAGTGAAGCAAGATAGTTTTTGGGATATTTAATAAACAAAATCATAACATGGACAAAACGGTCAACAGAAAAAATGACAGCACAAGCTCACCCTCTGTCATCCGCACTCGACATGAAACAGGTGACTTAAATACACAAACCACACCCATGTGACAATTACCGGAAGTGCTCAACAAACAAATAAAAGTGATGTAAACAAATAATAATACAAATAATGAACTTGGGCTAAGTAGCATTATGGCACCTACAAGGTTAATACAGCTGTGTGTGTAGATACAGGGAACATGTGCTCCTCTGGGGGATGAATCCAGACAGGATGCTCTCTGGTTTTATGATCATGTGAATTGTAAGCTATCTACCTGATCACAAGGGTATATATTATATAGACCTTTTTTTAAATATCAAACTAGAATGTGCCCCCTTGTTGTACCTTTGGTGAGAATCAGCCCCTCTGAAGTAAAGTGCTGTAAAGGATGTGTTCCTCTCCACAGAGGGAAGAGGAAGAGTGGTGTTCCTGTGGAGGAGCAGCTGTCCAGCTGTGCTCTGTGTCAGGACGTCCTGAAGGATCCAGTCTCTACCAGCTGTGGACACTGGTTCTGCAGACAGTGCATCACCTCATACTGGGAGCAGCGCCCTCCATCAGGAGACCCCTCCTGTCCCCAGTGTGGAGAAAGACCCAGAACCAGAGCTGGCCTGCAGACAGCCAGTCAGACCAGCTCTGTACGAGGTAAGAGGCCGAACTCATGCAGCGTCTTATTCCTCTTCCTGGTTCATTTGTTTTTTCTATTAGGTATTCTGTTGAAGAACATAGACATTAAAATGTTTATAAAACATTTAAACTCAGTCTGTTTTTATTAGTTTTATTGTTATATTCTCAAAAGCATTTTCTGATTCTCTCCTGTTTCCTTCTCTTCCAGCAGATAGTGGTCTGCAGGAGGTTTTAGATGAACATAGGCTCAGTCTGAGGAGGAGATGTGAACGTGTGACTGAAGGAACTGATGAAAGTGAAACCCTCCTCAACAGGATCTTCACTGAGCTCTACATCACACAAGGCCAGAGTGAAGAGGTTAATACCCAACATGAGGTGAGGCAGCTGGAGACAGCTTCCAAGAAAGAGACCCTCCATGACACTCCAATCAAGTGCCAGGACATCTTTAAAGCCTTACCTGACCAACAGACTCTCATCAGAGCGGTCCTGACCAACGGAGTCGCTGGAGTTGGAAAAACCTTCTCAGTGCAGAAGTTCACTCTGGACTGGGCCGAGGGTTTGGGAAACCAAGATGTCAGTCTTGTGATCCCGCTCTCCTTCAGGGAGCTGAACCTGATCAAAGGTGAGCAGTACAGTCTTCTCAGGCTGCTCCATGTTTTCCATCCCACCTTACAGAAGGTCACAGCAGAGCAGCTGGCTGTCTGTAAAGTGCTGCTCATCTTTGACGGCCTGGATGAAAGCAGACTTTCTCTAGACTTCAGAAACAATGAGGTTGTGTCTGATGTCTCACAGAAGTCCTCAGTCAACGTGCTGCTGACAAACCTCATCAGGGGGAAGCTGCTTCCCTCGGCTCTCGTCTGGATAACTTCCAGACCTGCAGCGGCCAATCAGATCCCTCCTGAGTGTGTGGACAGGGTAACAGAAGTACGAGGCTTCACTGACGCCCAGAAGGAGGAGTACTTCAGGAGGAGATCGAGTGATGAAGACCTGTCCAGCAGAATCATCTCTCACATCAAGAGCTCCAGGAGCCTCCACATCATGTGTCTGATCCCAGTCTTCTGCTGGATCACTGCTGCAGTTCTGGACCACATGTTGACTACAGACCAGAGAGGAGAGCTGCCCCAGACCCTCACTGACATGTACTCACACTTCCTGCTGGTCCAGACCAAGAGGAAGAAGCAGAAGTATGAAGCGGGACATGAGACGAGTCCACAGCAGCTGACGGAGGCTGACAGGGAGGTTCTTCTGAAGCTGGGGAGGCTGGCGTTTGAACATCTGGAGAAAGGAAACATCATGTTCTACCAAGAAGACCTGCAGCGCTGTGGTCTTGGTGTCACCGAGGCCTTGGTGCACTCAGGAGTTTGTACAGAGATCTTCAAAAGAGAGAGAGTGATCTTCCAGAAAACAGTCTACTGCTTTGTTCATCTGAGCATTCAGGAGTTTCTGGCTGCAGTCTACATGTTGCACTGTTACACCAACAGAGACGCAGCGGTACTGAAGGACTTCCTGCAGAGAGACTGGCCCTATGAGAACAGTCAAAACAGTGATCAGGATTACCCATCCCTGGATGTCTTCCTAAAGGGAGCCATGGCGAAATCCCTCAGAAGTGAAAATGGCCACCTGGACCTGTTTGTCCGCTTTCTCCACGGCCTCTCTCTGGAGTCCAACCAGAGACTGTTAGGAGGCCTGCTGGGTCGCACAGACAACCGTCCAGAAACCATCCAGAGAGCCATCAGAGGCCAGCTGGGTCGCACAGACAACAGTTCAGAAACCATCCAGAGAGCCATCAACAACCTGAAGGAGAGGAACAGTTATAAAATCTCTCCTGACAGGATGATCAACATCTTCCACTGTCTGACAGAGATGAAGGACCACTCAGTACATCAGGAGATCACAGAGTTCCTGAAGTCAGGGAACAGATCAGAGAAGGAACTCTCTGTGATCCACTGCTCTGCTCTGGCCTACATGCTGCAGATGTCAGAGGAGGTTCTGGATGAGTTGGACCTGAAGAAGTACAACACATCATGGGAGGGACGACTGAGACTGATTCCAGCTGTGAGGAACTGCAGGAAGGCCAAGTAAGTCCAGATGTGATTAACGTTATAAACTAATGTGGATCAGATGTTTAATTATTCAAATAAACACTGTGGGGGAAACTTCTGTGTAGCAATGCAGTGGGAGTCACCGACTCAGGAAGGAGACACGGTGAGAGTTGGAGCTTTTGATGTCAAACACTGATGGGTTTATTCAGAGTATCGGCCGGAGGATTCACATCACAAATCACGAGTCAGAGGGTCTGACTTCACGGGAGAGTTGCCACGTCAATTCTGAAGAGCCTCTCTCTATGTTAGACCTTTTAACTGGTTCACAGAGAGAAATCAACATCTCTGAAGGAGTAGACTAAACAGCTGGGAACACTGAATCACTTGCGTCCGACACTTATGGCCTCAAAGATTTCACACCTTGGAGTCCACAAACACCGATAAAGAAATGCCTCAGCGTTCTCACAACAATTACCATTCGTGCCCGAGAGTTGACCGGTCACAAACTGGTGACAACAACACATATGGCACCAATGCCTTTCCTTAAAGGAGATAACAGACGTCAGAGTAGATCATAAAACGTCACAGAGCAAAAGGTTAGATATCTAGAAGAATTATTCCTTAACAGTTCCTCTCTTTTTATCATTTTTGATAACCTTAAAACATTAGTCTAATAATAATTTTGGTCAATACTTAAATCAATAGGCGTCTTCAGATTCGAGTGTGGTCTCCCCTTACATTCAATTACATCACAAAGTAGAATAAGATTGAAACATTCAATCACAATGATTGATACAGCCAATCATAATAGGAAAAATTATCTCTCATCAGTGTTTGGAGCATCTTTTGTCAATACGCACAATAATGAACACACATAAAACACAGATACATAATAGCAAAATATTAGTTTTAAACTAATATCTTTTATCATTTAAACCATTAGTTAATGTCATTTATCAAACTATAAAATCAAAACCAGCTTGCAGCTTAAAGATTTGCTTTAAGGCAATCACTAGTCAAAAGCATTTAAAACTTAGGATCATAAGAGATCCAGCTAAGGCAGACCTGAGCATCGTACGGCCCCCGGGCCACATACGGCCCTTTGGTTGACTCTGACCGGCCCGTGTAAGGCTAATTGGAAATTACAAAATAAACATATTTTCTAACTTTACCTCATGCATGGACTAAAGCTGCATTGCTTTTATTTTGAAGTTGTTTTTTATTCACGTGCATAATGACGCAATACGTATATCAAGACGTGCACATTATTGGATCCTTGTCACAAGACGACTTTAGCCCTCAAAAAAATGTCCGATAAAAAAAGAAAGGTAGATGCTGAATGCAGGGTTTTCAACAAAAATTGGACTGCTAAGTATTTATTTACTGAAGTCGGAGGTAAAACCGTGTGTTTAGTTTGCGGGGAGCAGATCGCCGTGTTTAAGGAGTACAATGTGAGTCGACATTACGAGACGAAACACGCGGAGAAATATAAAAACTTGACTGACGCTGAAAGGGCGCGGACATCGGAAGCTTTGCTAGCTAAGCTGCAAAAGCAGCAAGGCTTTTTTACCAAGCTTCACACATCCAGTGATGCAGCAACCATGACCAGCTTTGTGATATCCCACAAAATTGCTAAAAACAGTAAGCCGTTCTCGGAGGGGGAGTTTGTCAAAGAGTGCTTGGTGGACTCTGCAGCACTAATATGCCCTGAAAAAAAAGCCGCATTTGAGCAAGTCCCGCTGTCCAGGCGAACCGTGACTAGAAGGATCGAGGACATTGCGGGGAATCTGGAGCTTCAGCTGCAACGTGAAGTGGCAAGTTACGACTTTTTCTCCTTGGCTTTGGACGAGAGCTGTGATGTCCGCGACACAGCCCAGTTACTCGTATTCGTCCGCGGGATAACACCGGACTTCAAGATTACGGAGGAGCTGGCAGCAATGCGGTCGATGAAAGGGACGACGACAGGGAGCGATCTGTTCACGGAGGTAAACGAGTGCATGGACACGCATACATATGTGAACAAACATTTTCAATTATGAAGTTTACGAAATCCAGGTATAGATCCTCTCTCACTGATGATCATCTGTCAGCTGTGCTTCGCATCTCCACCTCAGACATTCAACCTGACTTTGATGCACTTGTTAAAGCCCAGCAGAGACTAGATTTCTCTCACTGAACAAGAAAAGAGAACTTAAAAACACCAAATGAGGTGGTTAGACTACAAATGTTGGCATGTAAAGGCACCAACTAGCAGTGAACTGGGACACTTTCTTTGAAAGCCTTTTTCTCTAAATCACAGTTCAGTGATGTTTAGTGACAGTTCAATATGATGTATCTTGCTTAATATTTGGAGTACAAAGACAATATTGTGATGTCTTTAGAATGCTAAGAACCTCTTTCCAACAGTAAATGAAACTCAAAATGTGTTTGAGTGAATGTGACTGAAAATGTTCACTAATATGAGTCACAAATGGTGAAAAACGTTCATTTTGTTTACCATTGTTTTGGGAAATTTGATTTAATAAATGACATTTTTTTGTAAGGCAACCTCACTTTTTCATTGCTTAACTATAACATATACTCTTACCAGCTTGTCAAAACAATGCTATTTACTGCTTTTTATAAAGAAATAAAGAAATTCAGCCTTTTGGCCCGGCCCTCCACAATATTTTCAGTTTCTCATGTGGCCCCATGGAAAAAATAATTGCCCACCCCTGAGCTAAGGCATACAATTCACAGTGATGATTTGATCAATCTGTAATCTGCGAAATTGCAGTGTCCTCAATTTTAGGATTACTTTACGTTTACTTCATTACGCTTTAGCCAAGAGTAAGGCACTTAGTCTTAGTAAAATCAATACATTCATTTTAGTCAAGTACATTGTTCAAAATCTGAAAAGGAAAAGTTAGGCAAATATTCAAAGACTTTTGTAAAAACCTGGAAAGGAAAGATTAAACATTCTTAAAACTTTAATTCATACATTTGTAAATGCTACAACTGATCTGTACCAAATTAAGTCTATCAATTATTCTTATTAGCCATACTTACCTGAAAATCTACTTATGGTACTTGGAAAGGGTTCTTTTGTGTTTATCTAATGTTGAATATAGAATATCAATTTCTTTAAATTATACTTCTCTAATTTGAGGATCAACTATGCTACATAATTGTTATATGAATTATTATAAATATTTGTTTTGGGCCAAAACTGAAATTAATCCAGTACTTGAAACATCTTTTTAGGTCTGTCTGTTCATGGACAATACATTAAAGAGTTGTGTTGTTAAGCCTGATTGCTGGATGATTAAGGATATTAACATTATCTGTGATAATAGTAGAAATACCTTATTATTCAATACCTTATAATCTGAAAATATTTATTTATTTATTTTGTTTAGTGTGAAAGTGTAATCTGATCTGACACAAATATATTTATCACCACTATTTAACACATGTCTGGTAATTGGAAATATAAAAAACAATCATTAATTGTACATCTTTAAACATCTGGTCATTCAATTCAAAGTTCATCTTTGTACGAGAGCTGGAAGAACATGTCCGTCAGTCTTCCTGACTCGTTCTCCTCCTCCCTTTATGACACCGAGTGTCTGGTGTGTAAAGGCATCCTGATACTGTAGATTAGCACTGAGGTGCTGATTGGCTCAAACTCTTCTTCATCAGAGCGCCATATTTCAACCCCCCCAATTGCTCTGCTATTGTGTGGCTCATTCAGTGAGCACTGTAGTTAATCCCCCAGTGAGACGGAGGCTCATCTGCCTGTATTCCTTCTGCTATCTGCTTGAGAGCAGTGCAACTGCGTATTCCAATAGTGATGCATCCAGGTGTCCCCCCCGTGATGGGAGAGGTTAGGAAGACATCAAACTCCTCCAAGAAACATGGAACCTTGTATTATAGAAACCTCTGAAGCCCTCGCTCGTCCTGCAGGGTTGTCTGCTAGAGCCCACCGAGCAGAAAGATGAAGAGAAGCATCCCATCTTATCAGAAAGGTGAAGAGAAGCATCCCATCTTATCAGAAAGGTGAAGAGAAGCATCCCATCTTATCAGAAAGGTGAAGAGAAGCACCCCCTCTTATCAGAAAGGTGAAGAGAAGCATCCCATCTTATCAGAAAGGTGAAGAGAAGCATCCCATCTCGAACGACCTCGTGCTTCCTTGCACGTGGCTGGGGGTGCTCTCTGCAGCCGGAGAGTGTGACCCTCTCTCTCTGACCCTTGGCCTTGAGAGCTGTCCTAGTTATTGGGTTAACACTTGATCGGGATGTTTTTTCTGAGTGAAGACAACTCAAAGTAATGGATTAGCACATTATCATTTAATCACAAAAGTAGGCCCCTCAGAATTATTTGGGAGCCTTCCTGACACATGCACATTATCATTTTGAAGGTTTGTGTTAGTCATTTAACATGCAAGAATCATATACTCATCAGTCCATAGCAGAGAAATGTTATTGTAAGTTAAAGGTGAGCTTGTCCCTGTGGATATAACCCCTTCTCAATGATTCTAAATGTATATTAATTCACCATTTACCTTTTGATAAAATATTAGTTTATCAGAAATATTTTGTCTCTTCCATAAAACATAGGTTTGAGAAATAAATTACCCAATATAAAATAAATTACTCAATATAATTGACTCTTCCCTCCCTTTTCTTACATATGTTACATATGAAATAATAACTTAGGAGTCTATTTAAGCATGGTATAGTTTATAATCTATTAATCGAGAAGACTCAGTATCACCTGTGTGCAGCTTACAAAAAAACATTGTGATAAATATATATTATGCAGGAAATCAGATATGCTTTGTGACCGGTCACAAACTGGTAACAACAACACATATGGCACCAATGCCTTTCCTTAACCTGTTAAGCCCCAAAGCCCCCGTCGGCGAGTCTTTTTTTTTTCTCACAAATTAGTGATTATTATTATTATTTTTTTTTTTTTTATTAATTTTTTTTATTTAATTTTTTTTTCTTTGGATGGAATGAATACCTATGGTGATAATTTAATGTAATACATCATTTTTATAGTCTGGTACCTGAAAAAGGTCAAATGGCACTGATGGAACCAGATGTACCCAAATGTGCCGAAAGCTTATTCCGCCTGGAACTTCTTTTGCTAAACCTCTCTAAAAAGGTCAAATTGAACTTGTTTTGCCTCAATCTTGATACAGGGTACTTATTATATGTTATAGTTTGGATTCCTAAAGCTTTTAGTCTACCATCCCATCATTCAAGGGTGGTTTTCACTATAAGTAATGTTTTTTCTTTAGGCGGAGGTAAGAATTTACCTTTTTTTACTATGTTCCATCTGAATTTACTCTGACTGAGAAAAATCTATATTGATTCTGACACTTCTACATCCAACTCACAGATGTAACCTTGCTTTGATAAAAGAAATTATTCATATAACCCTTTTAGAAGTGAAGTTGTAGTCATTTGTTTTGGGCATGTCATTTTTGAGCCTGAAACCTGAAAAACAGGCTCGGGGCTTAACAGGTTAAAGGAGATAACAGACGTCAAAGTAGATCATAAAACGTCACAGAGCAAAAGGTTAGATATCTAGAAGAATTATTCCTTAACCTGTTTCACACCTTCCCCCCGGTACCGGGCGGATAAACGCGTCATTTGCAGGAAACAACGTCTAAGGAATCTTAATATTGAATAAAACTATGAATGTGTTATATCCATGTAACGGGAAGAAACTCAGCTAACTGATCTTTTTAATTTTTTTTTTCAAAAAAAACCCCACAATGCTAGCACTCAGCCTCTGAATTAGCCTCGACGAAAAAACGTAACCTACAAAGGCACATAAACTCACTCAGAACTCCCTTATTACTTATCCTAGATGCACAACCAAACACTCTTTTTTGGTGTCCTGGAGACACTGAATCTAACGGTGCCCTCCTCAACACTCAGTGATAAACATTCGCGACGCTCTAAACGAAAGCGTACATCATCACATGTGGAGCTAAGAAGCTAAACAGTAAATATGGCTTACCTTGGTCAAAAGTGGTCTTCAATGGCATTAAAACGATAAAAAAACGATGCTGCAGTTAATCCATAGGTTCATCCTATGTGTCTGTGCCTTCTTTGAAATTATTTCTGATAATCCATAAGCAATACAACTGCGTTTTAGTTTCCAAACTCCAGAAGGAGACATTCCTCTACTTTGGTTTCGTTTTCCACACGCGAAGCAACCACATTTTTTCTTTACAACCTGTCTGGGTGGGAGCCTCCCCCTTTGATTCTATTGGCTCTAACGGTCACAAGGGTATGTCAACCAACCAAATCGAGCAAGGGGGGCCAGAGATAGGTCAAATCCACCCAAATGACCCCAGATGGCCCAGTTTTTGGCTAAATCTCTCTAAAAAGGTCAAGTTTCACTTGTTTTGCATCAATCTTGATACAGGGTACTTATTATATGTTGTACTTTGGATTCCTAAAGCTTTTAGTCTACTAACCCATCATCCAAGGGTAGTTTTCACTATCTGTAAAAAATAATTTTTGGACGGACACTATAATTTACAGTTTTTTACTATGTAAAATCTGAATTTTCTTTAAAATAAAAAACATTTATATTGATTCTGACACTTCTACATCCAACTCACAGGTTTATCATTACTTTGAGAACAAAGATTATTAATTTAACCCTTTTAGAAGGGAAGATATGGTCATTTGTTCTGGGAATGTCATTTTCGAGCCTGAGACCTGAAAAACAGGCTCAGAGTGGAACAGGTTAACAAACACTATAACATTTCTGCTGTTTAAATACTGAGAGCAAAATAAACCAACACTGTTCTTCTATTTATTTATAATAATAGTTAAACTGAAGCGTTTCTCTCTTCATATTGAGTGATGGAGGCGACATGTCAAACAAATGAAGGACTTTAGAGGTTTCTCAGCATGTGATCACACCACACAGCAGGACTTACAGTTATCTGTTATTATTACTTTCTAGTAGTTTCTTTATCATTAAACACACACACGTTTTTATCACAATGTGTTAGAGTTTAAAATCAGATCTATATCATATCCCACCAATACCAGAGTTATGTCTTAATACTCATATAGTGAGAACATCTGATGGTATTCAGTTTAAAATATTGAAACTTTATTGGTTTGTTAACTGTGTTTGTGTGCACAATACATTTCCAGATGCTCAGAGAAGCCAAAACATCCATCATTCACATCTCAATATTAATTAACATTTAAATATGTACATCTGTAATATTGTCAAGTGATTTATTTAATTTCTGTCTCTTTGGTAACAGTCAGTGACAGCAGGAGCACAGACATGTGATCAGATCACACTGACAACACACTACACTCTATTATCATATATTATTATATATAAAATGGACTAACAGCAAATCTCAATCAGAACATATGTCAACAATTTTTTTCATCAAATGCTTGAGGTCATTATGTTTCCTCTTTTTTAACACATGTTGTAATATATGTGTTATTATAGACTTGCTGGCTGTAGACTCTCAGAGACTCACTGTGAAGTCGTGGCCTCAGCTCTGAAGTCTGACCCCTCCCATCTGAGAGATCTGGACCTGAGTCACAACGCTCTGAAGGATTCAGGAGTGGAGCTGCTGAGTTCTGGACTAAAGAGTCCAAACTGCAGACTGGAGGCTCTCAGGTCAGTTCACTGACTGAACTTCATTTGTTTGTGTTTATCATTTTCTGAATTTGAAAAAAATACATTAAAATTATTTTTCCATTTTTGCTAATGACTGAATATTGATCAGAATAACAAAGAGAAGGTGAATGTGTGAGGGAGAGAGTTTGAGCTTCCACAGACTCACTCTGTGCTCCATGAGTCAGTGGAGATGCTGTCAGTACTGATGAGCTGTGAGGGAGATGAAGGAGTTGTTCAACATCTGATCAAAGTTAAAGTTCCAGATTATCAATGGATTGTTTCTACATCATCTCTGAGATTAAAGGTCTCCTATCATGCAAAAGTCACTTTCTGATGGCTTTTCTACATCACCATGTGTCCCCGGTGTCAGGAGACTCACAAAGTGTCAGGAAACAAACCCCTCTCTCTTTTCCTCCGTACCCACATCTCTAAAAACGGGGGAACAACGGAGCTGATCCAGATTTGCTGCGTCATGACGGCATTACTAAAATGTGGGCGGGCTTTACACCAATGGGCCAATCAGAAACGTTGCTGTCAGAAACAATGAGACGTGTTCTGGAAGTAATATGGTCTGTGTATACATTAGCATGCTAACACTCAGAGCTAACCTGTACTGGAGAGAGCATGTGTGAAGAAGCAGGAAATAAGAAGGAACTCACCTTGTGGTAAACCTGAGAGAGAGAAAGAGTTTGAGCTCCATACAGTTTCAGAGATAATCCTTGATGTGGTTTGGAACATGATATGGAGTTTCATCACGGCAGCATTTAGCTGAGTTTCTGCTGGTAGAATTCTGATCAGGCATTAGCTCCACCTCCTTTTTTCTTTGTTCAAGCTAAGGACCCGAACCTGCTCTTCTCTAACAGCTGGAACAGAGGGATATGAGGGATTTCTAAAATGCATGATCTGTTTGGTATTTTGAGCAAAACACATCATAGACATGTTTTTATATATTTGTATATATCCCATAATATATGCCTAAAGATAGCATGATAGGAGACCTTTAAAACCCTGTTTAACTCTGATCAGATTATTAAACCTGGAGTTATTTCAAACAGGAACATTGTTTTCTAAAGTTACATCATGTTTTCTTTATTCAGACTGAAGAACTGCAGTTTGTCAGAGATCAGCTGTTCTGCTCTGATCTCAGCTCTGAAGTCCAACATCCATCTGAGAGATCTGAACCTGGGTCTCAACGATCTGAAGGATTCAGGGGTGAAGCTGCTGAGAGATCTTCTGGAGAGCCCAGACTGCAGACTGGAGACTCTCAGGTCAGTTCACTGACTCTCTGTTACTGCTGGAGATCTCATGTTTCATTAGTTATTCAACCTGATTCTTCTACGTAATTAACTTACATCTATAAAGTTATAAATGTTCTTTTATTCATACTTTCATTTGTAGGTACTAAAGTAAGAACTGCAGAGATAAATGTTGACTGATTCTTAAAGGAACTGTAATAGATGTTAGTTGTTCAAAGTAAATCTATGTTTTTAATATTTAGTAAACGATAACGTCTGAATAAAGTTCATCTGAAGTAATATTAGTTTTACAGGATAAAGTTAACTTTCTGAAGAAGACATATGTTTTTGTTCCCATTCATTTCAATGTTGAGTAACACATCTGATTATAAACTGATTTGTATCCTCATCATGTTTTCTTTATTCAGTCTGTGGGACTGCAGTTTGTCAGAGATCAGCTGTTCTGCTCTGGCCTCAGCTCTGAAGTCCAACATCCATCTGAGAGTTCTGGACCTGAGGAACAACGATCTGCAGGATTCAGATGTGAAGCTGCTGAGAGATCTTCTGGAGAGTCCAGACTGCAGACTGGAGACCCTCTGGTCAGTAAGGGGTCTCTGCTGGTTCAGCAGTATTGTATGAACCACAGGGAGGTGTTTCTCTCACTGGGGAAACAGATCAGTGATGTTACCCACTGACTGCAGGCTCTTTCATTCTTCCATCAACTATAGAAGGCCAGCTGAACATGCAAAGCTACACTTTAGTAATCAACTCTCTAACAGACATATGGGACTTTACAGAAGAGTGGGAAAGGTAGTCTGTTCTTATGGGATGTTTTTAGTTTCTAGCCCAGGAGTGTCCAAACTGTGGCCCGGGGGCCAAATGCGGCCCTCGGAATCGGCCCTTAGCAAATTCTGAAAGTATAATGAAACATGGCCCACAGATGAAACTTCTGCTTGTCTTGTATTGTACTTCTTAAATATATATGTACACATATATTACACAGTAGTATTCATGTGTTAAAGGTGGGGTAGGTAAGTTTGAGAAACCGGCTCGAGATACACTTTTTGTTATATTCCATGGAATGCTCTTAACATCCCGATAGCAATGAATATCTTAAGTGCTTTGACAAAAAATCCATAAAAAAATGTCATCTGTGGAAGCCGTAATACTGTAAAAAGCAGGACCAATCATTTTAGCCGGCCCGGCTAAAATAACTGGATGGCCTACCTGCCTGTCAGCCTTCCATCTGTGCACAAACTTATCTCGTGCCCTCATTGGTCATGTGCGCGTTCGTGTGTGTTGGAGGAGGGGCTCTATAAGGAAGTGGCAGATTTTCTCCGGTTGTGTATTTTCAAATTCTACGCATTCGAGCTGGTTTCTCCGAAATTACCTACCCCACCTTTAAAGCTGAAAACATTTTCTAACAAATCTAACTTGATAAGAAAAAAGCCCAATAACTTATTGTTATAACAAGCGTGAAATAAACCCTTCATATTTCCTGTAATTATAATCAATCTGAAGCTCCTGTTTAAAGGAATGAGCTGCTAACAGAATAAAGTAAACCCTCTGGAGAGCTGAGAGCTGTTTTGTTTCTTAAAGCATCTTCAAGTAACAAGCATCCTTTACCTTCATTTGATTGAGTTTCCTGACTTATAACTGAACTTATGAGGCAGTAAACCTCTAGAGAGCAGCCCAGACCTTTATATATTTATCTGTATGTGGCCCTCGGTGAAAAAAGTTTGGACCCACCTGTTCTAGACCAATGACTGGTTACTTCCTGTCATGCAGCTGAGAGCTGTGGCAGGCAGTCGTAGTGTTTGCAGAGAAGATATGATGGGATGTAAAGCATGAGATCAGGACTCTGAAGCTGACTCAAAGAACAAACACTTATTTTAAACTGGATCTAAAACTGTTGGATTGTGTTCGTCTCTACAGGATCGGACATGGACTAGGAGAGAAGACGTTCAGAGCCACGATCCAGAAGACCTGTGAGTACTGAAACCATATCCTCCATTCATCAAGATATGAAACTCTTTAATGGAGCGTGACCTCAGAGGAAAACAACACTCTTCTTTCTCTCTTCATCATTTTAGCTGTTTCTCTTAGTTTTATTATCATCATTATTCTCTCTCTCTCTCCTTCTCCTCTCAGGTGACAGGAAGTGAAGACACACAGAAAGGTGAGAGGTCGTACCGTGTGAAGTTTATTTATTGAGGTTTCAACACGTTTTTCTGGTGTTCCAGACAAATCTGCAAGCTCAGGTTTTATTTGCTGATGAGAGACTTCCTGTTAGCTCTCCTCAATATTAAATGAACAAAAACAATCAATTGTACTTAAAGCTTTTCTTAAGAAGAAAGATGTGTTGCACATACACCTGTTGCTATACCACCACCTCCCACCCATCCCGGCACCAAAGAGGAGACTCCATCGACCCCAGATACCCCAACTCACTCTTCTTCAGGTTAGCTTGGAGCCCCGCCTTTACCTGCCCCAACATCTCACTTTGAACGATGTAGTCATCCGGATATCTGCATACTGAGAGTGGGACGCAGGACCCGGTCCATGAGCTGCTGGATGGGGGTCCACTGGACTGGAGGGGCGCTTGGATCTGGTGATGCCTTGCTCTTCCTGAAAGGGGAGGACACCTATCTGCCATAGTTTTTCCACCTGACGACTGAGTTCGGCATCGGGGGTTCCAGTTGGGGTGAAGAGACTCTGGGGGGCATCCGATGGCTCCTGAATAGGGGGGCCCTTGGAGTGTCCAACCTAATGATAAGAATAAGAATAATAAGAATGCATTTTATGTTAAAGCACCTTGCATTGCTAAAAGTAATCTCAAAGTGCTACAAGGGGCATAATATACTTCTTTTTTTTTAAAGAAACACAAGTTTAATAAAAGGTTTTAAAAAAAATAAAGGTTTTTAGGCCCTTCTGAAAGGAGTCAGTGGTCTGTGGAGTCCTCAGTTTGTCTGGGAGGGAATTCCACAGGTGAACAGAAAGCCCCCCCATGGTGCGGAGTTTGGTCCTGGGGGGGGAAGCAGATGGTTGGTTGTAGAATGGAGGCTGCGTGTGGAGGTTTGTGAGGAGAGTAGTTCCTTGAGGTATGAAGGAGCGTTCCCGTGGATGCACTGATGGGTGAGGAGTGAGATCTTGTATTTGAACCTAGCTGGAGGGCTATTGTATTCTACAGTGTGCCTGAATGTAATCATTGCGTAGGTGTGTAGTGTGATTCTGTGTAGTTTATTTATGGCATCCCGTTGGATTTGACGTCATCTGAACAAGACATCGCACGCTCACTGCTTGATAGCGCGCGAAGGTCCGTTTACGCCGGTTGTTAAACAACATGGTTATGGGGAAATGCAAGTCTGCGTCCAAATGGTTGGAAGATAAGGAGGAAGGACAATCAATACTGTATATAGTCAATGTGAGGTAAAGTGTGTCGCCAAGGTAACCGGTTAAAACTCAAAGTGGCGATGAGGTCTTAAAATGTATGGAAAGGGTCTTAAAAAAGGTCTTAAAAGGTATTGACTTCAGGATTCCTGCATATTCCCTGTTGTGGTTAAGACGTGTCTCTTGCCACTGAAAGGGAGTCATTCACTGAATAATTATATTAAAGTTTTAATTTGGTAATAAAAACTAATTTAACCTGATGAATAACTTGACATTTAAGATTTCTTTCGTAGGATATATTCAGATTTTTAGGGTGAAATTTCGAGCTTTGAACTGTTGAACCTGTGAAACTCAAGAGGATTAATTAATCAGTATTAATTTAGGAACAGGAATAAGTCATAATGAACACTGTATACGATGCTGTTAATGACACGACTCTCAAACCATGGGAAATAAATGTTTAATACAATAAAAAGAGGAAGCAAAATGTACAAATCTGCAAAACAAAATTAGATGAAAGGCTGGAATTTTAATACTGAAATGTAGTAAATGCTGACACAGAATTTGAGAGTTTAATACATTTAAAACATGTATAAATGAGTGGTGTGTACATCACTGATATACCTGAACTAGTTGCATTTAATCTCTTTTCCCCGAAAAAGCAAAATAACATGCATCAAATGTATCTGAAACCCAAATCTGCACAAAGGATACTAACATCTAAATATATATACAACAGCATTGTGTCCTCTTAAAAAAATCCCTTTCGTTGCTCTTATAGGACTCCACTTAACATATTCCCTCCTATAACACTGTTCACATACCGTTTTATAAAAAAAAGTATAAAATTCATGATTGTGTTCCTATTCTAAACCTGTCGCCGACATTACCCACAATGCAACGGAACCACTTGTAGTCCTTAGAACAAACTGATGCTTTATACAACTACTTTACAGAGACATGTAGTCACACTTACATGTCTATAGGCGGAGTTACCCTTTAAGGAATTACATAATGTTATTGTATTAATATAAGAAAAGTAGCAGGTGTATTTCCAGTACCATACAAGCTGCAAAACAGCACTTTGCACTAAAGGAAAACAATGCATATCATGGCTGATGAGATATGAAATAATACTTTAAAATGTATGCATGATGAGACACAACCATTTCCAGAATGATTATGAAATGGCACGAATTAGGAGGGAGGTTAAAAACACTGATATGAATCCTCATAGCACCAGAACTCGAAAATACTTCAGACTTTCCTCAGAGAAATACTGTTATGTGTACAAATGTACTACTGTCAGTACCAAAGTACACTGGAATAAAGTGACCTGAATAACCTTCCTTTCATAGGAGAGGAGCTTTTATTTAGAAATACAAGGAGCGCATGTGAAGGTGTGGAAGAACATGTACACACATATATAATAATGGGAAAATAAAATGTGTTTAACTGTGAAGGAATTCAACTTTTAAGATGATGTGAGCTGGCGCCATTTTACCACATTTCACCACCAGTGTTTCCAAAAATGTGCAGAAATCTGTGCTTTAATGTGACAATTTCCCATGTGCACTTGAAGAACATAAAGTGTGTATGTGTTTCTTCCCTTAACATATCTTAAAGTCTGGACATAGATCTAAAAGTATACCTCATCCTCATTATGGCTTCATGAAAAACATTTTTTTTTTATAAAAGTGCCGAGTTCTTCTACGTTAAAGTCTCTGTTAAATTAAAAAATGTCCGTGGATTTTCCTTCAGTAATCCTCCGTCTCACATGCAGGTGACCTCAGCTTTCCCCTCCTCCTGCTCGAAGCCCCCCTCCTCCAGGTGGGACAGGGCGCTGGGATACCCCCCACCCCCGAACACTGGGAAGCCCCCGATGCCCCCCGCGGTGGGAGAGGGATCCTCGGGGGGGGGAGAGGGGGCTGCTGACCGACCGACTCACGGAGCGATTGGAAACCTCGCTGTGCACCGAGAGGGTCTGCAGGGGGAACAGGAGTTAGATATACGAGGGCAAAGTTATTCATATTTAACTGATTTTAGATTTTAGTAACAAAAACTGCCTGTCTTAGAGTCCTAGCTTCAAAGGAACTGACAGAACAAGTAGATATTTTACTCAATTAAAGCACTAATACACACAGTGCAACAAGTAAAAGTCCTGCTTTCAAAATCTGCAGTGGGGAGAATGAACGCCGGAAGTGCAGTTTCAAGTTTGCTCAGCAGGGGGCAGTGTAGCCACATAGAAAGCTCCTCCCTGCAGCTCCACACTGACAGATGTTAAGTTGGATTTATTTCGTTATACTATATACATAAATATTGAGATATTGATGCATACAAACGCCTCTATACTTTTTTGTATTTGGTTGTTTAATATCATGTAATTTTTGTGTGTTCTCTCTTAATGTTGTTTCAAATAAAGAGTAAATAAATACTATTACCGGGATCCTCTGTTGCCCCGCTGCCTGACCTCTGACCGGACGCTGCAGAAACACAACCTGCTTCGTGGCCAGATTCCCATCACTACACACACACACACACACACACACACACACACACACACACACACACACACACACACACACACACACACACACACACACACACACACACACACACACACACACACACACACACACACACACACACACTAGCTTGTTGTAATCTTATAGCAGCTTTAAAAAGGTGCAGATTAGACTGAGTTGGTGTTAGATCTACCTGTCGTGGCGGATGATGGGAGTGGGCAGCACGCAGGTGAGCAGCCAACCAAACTCAGCCAGCGTGTGAAGCAGGGGTCCGTAGTCCGTCTTCACATTAGAGCCCTGAGAGAAAACACAATATATACATTTATATAAGAGCATCTTACAACAGTCGGGTGTTGAGGAAGGAGAATATATTGTATGTCCGTGGTTATAATTTGTATTCAGGATTGTGGGAAACGGTAATTCGATCTCTCTGTACACACAAACTGAAAGATTGACAATAAAGTTGACTTTGATAACATGTCTGCATTATAACATGTCATAAAGCTAGATGAACCTAATTACAGTTATTAAAGTAAACAGATATGGTTCTAAACTGTATTGAAGTAAACATGTATTGTTTGAACTGTTTTAAGTAATCCCATAGATATTGTATTCTCACTTACAACTCACTGACCCAGAGATCCTGTTACACACACATACACCTCCTCCCACCAGCACACACACATATTCTTTCCAAGGTCCTTTCTGGGCATCAATATATCTGTGTACAATGTTTGGTTGTCTGGGAAAGACAGATAGTTTGTGTGAAATATTCCTTGGGAAAGTAAAGGAGTGAATATAGGTGCAGAGATAAAGATTGACTCTGTCCTTGTGTCTCACGCTCTGCTCAGAAGAAAACATACTTTTTCCCAGAACTCTAATTCGCTGTATTGGACCCGACCAGAAGTGAATCCAACCAGTAAAAACACCTGGGGGAGTGAGCAGCTCACACAGCTCCTCCCCACGGACTCTCTGATTCGCTTCGGAGTAAAATGGGAAGGAAGAGTCAACACATCTCCGCCCCAAAAATGTCTATGAATACTGTTGTTTATTCATGTAAAATGCTTCCTGTTTGCTGACTGGCCGGTCCTGATGCCTGTGTCGCACGGCAGTAGAACTCGAAGTCCAGAGTACTCTGTAAACTTGTATAAGTGTTTTGTTTTTTACCAGTAAAATCAGATTATTGTTATAACCTTTATTCCGGTGTTTGAACTCCTTCTTTTATTAAATATAACCTCATCTAAAGGACGGCGCATAGCGGAGGTGGGCTTTAAGCCACCACCACAGTGTTTGCTACAACATTATTTAACTCGCCTAGCCTTGTCTCGTTTTTTGGGGGAACTAGTTTAAAAAGAACGGTTTTCCCAGGGTAGCCCGGGGTGTAAATAGGCAGCCCTCTCATTGATTGGAGCATGAAAAGGAGCATGCTCAGTGATACAGCTAGCTAATAGTCTGGATTTACTGTGACGTCACCTGTTGGTTATAGTCAAGGATTTTGAGATTTGATTTTGGCATTTTGATCGTAGCCATCTTGTTTTTTTGGGACCAGAAATGACACAAGGAAGTGAGGAAAAGCAAAACCGAAGGCTCAAAAAGACAACTCCATTTGGAAAGAAATCAGTATCAGTCGAACAAGAAAAGACAAACCCAATGTAAGGATCAGGAAAAGTGAAATGGCTCTACATATAAAACAAATAACAACAGCTTACATAATAACAATCAACAAGACAATAAGATGTACTGCCCTCTCACCCTTAAACAAATCCTGTTTCCTGACTGATACTGCACTTTCATTTTGACATCAAGTAACTTCTGTCAGATTGAGGTCATGCACAATCATTATGATGCACACACACACACACACACACACACACACACACACACACACACACACACACACACACACACACACACACACACACACACACACACACACACACACACACACACACACACACACACACACACACACACACACACACACACACCTCGATGACGGTCCACTGCTCCACCACGATGGTGTCGTTGGCGGGAGGAGAGGTGCTCCTCTCTTCGTACACAAACAGTCCCTCCAGAGATCTGGGCACCGGCTCGCCTGGAATAAAACACACAAGAAGTCACTTTAAAAAGTGTGCAAGTGGTTATATTGTCACGTTGTGTCATTGCATATAGTAACACACATTTATTACAGGTGGCAGATGATTAACAGCAAGTAGTGGAAACAGAAAGAGGATGTCATTGGCTTGATATTGACCCAGTTTTTAGAAATAGGTTAAACTCTTGCTATGGAGGGATCTTGTTGTGTGTGTGTGTGTGTGTGTGTGTGTGTGTGTGTGTGTGTGTGTGTGTGTGTGTGTGTGCGTGTGTGTGCGTGTGTGTGTGTGTGTGTGTGTGTGTGTGTGTGTGTGTGTGTGTGTGTGTGTGTGTGTGTGACTGTGTGGTGTGTGTGTGTGTGTGTGTGTGTGTGTGTGTGTGTGTGTGTGTGTGTGTGTGTGTGTGTGTGTGTGTGTGTGTGTGTGTGTGTGTGTGTGTGTGTGTGTGTGTGTGTGTGACCCCCCCCATATGTAGAATGGAAGAAGTACCAAATTGTAGAAATAAAACCTTTTGTTAAAAGTTAAAATCCTTTTATTGAATTAAAAGTACAACAATTTTGCATCGAAATCCAATTAGAAAAATCTAAGTACTTCTTACATTTAGATTTATTGTCCTAGAGGGATATTTGCTTCACAGCTGGTGTCCAACATATTTATACACAGCAACACATGTAACACACACAGCAACTGAACATACTAATAGCAACACATATAGCAACGTATAGCTATAGACGATACACAAAATCTTCGCATTCGCATCAATATTACTAAACATTTTACCACATTTAGTCTAATCAAGATGTCAGTGATGTAATGGCCACGTTTGTAGACACAGTTAATGTTCATTTCAGTCAGCAACAGCCGAACACATTCAGACATTGAACTTCTCAAAGGCCTTTATTTAAGGTATGGCCTAACACAATATTCACATGCCTAACATGGAGGAATGTTTGCTGTAATTATTTCTCCTGTCCATACTTGTCATTAGGAGTCTGTTCTCTGGGTACACTCTCTCCCTATTTCCAACACTTTCCCTGACATTTGGAACACTTTTCCCCGCATTTTAAACACTGTTCCTGGCTTCTAAAGTGAGGTGCTGGAGCCTGTTCTCTGGGTACACTCTGTGCCTATTTAAGACACTTTCCCCGACATTTAAAACACTTTAACCCACATTGAAAACACATTGACTCCCTTAGAAAGTGAGGTGCTGCAGCCTGGTTCTCTCCCAGTACTGGGTACTAGTTAATGCCACTATCCCCACATTGAAAACACTTTTCCTTTTAAGTGGACATCACATTTCCATTGTGCGGAAGTTTGTCCAATGGCACGAAGCGTCCCACGTTATTTGTGTCCAAAAGAGGAAGTTTCCCTAACTTATGTTATTCCCATGTAATGAATGACATTTTCTTACTGAACTGTAGCTCAGCAAGGAAAGGAGGGAGAGGGATTTTCACACTGTTATTTTGGAAGACATCCACTGATTTTAAAATGATCAAACTGTAGATCTAATGTCTGTGGACCCTAGGTCTGTAAACTAATGTTGGATTAGAGTTGGATTGAATTTGGCTAACTCAGACTGCTGAAGCCTCACAGTAGGTTTAGCTAAAGTAAAAATATCAATGACTGGATTTAGTCCCTCATCTTTCAGATTAAAGCTGTGTAAGAATGCTCTTTTTATGTACATATGGTTTTGTGATGAATGCATTTAGAAAGAAGGTTCAGCCACTTACACTTAGTCCATGCCACCAAATAGGGTTTTAGTATTGTAGAATAATCAAAGTTGACATATTAGGCATTGAGAATTACCAGTGTATTGTGACCATACAAAATGTGATACTAACATGTGTTGTGTGATTGCTTTTGTTTTTCAGTACATCCAGCAGAACATTAGATCAGACTGCTCTAATATCGACAAAATCCTTGAGCCTCCAGAGGGTCAGGACGAGGGCGTGTGGAAGTATGAACACCTCAGGTATGTTGATAAAGTAATTTAAGCTTGAAAATTAATAAGTTATTGAAGCAGCAGTCCTAGTAGGATCACTCATGCTCATGTGTTTGTCTTTTCTTCTAACTGTGCTCGTGTTTTGTCCTTCATGTAGGCAGTTCTGTCTGGAGCTCAACGGACTAGCTGTAAAACTGCAGGTACGTGATCCAACTCGGAAGATATACAACCTTTTTATTAATTTTTAAACATCTCTGATGGAAGGTTTTTTCCCATTTATGTGTCCATATCAAAGCAAAGATCTTAATCAGGAACTATTTGGTAGAGCTGTATAAAGAACCGGTTAACCTTTGTTTTAAGGAGTGTTTTAAGGAGTGTTTTAAGGAGTGTTTTAAGGAGTGTTTTTAAGGTGTGTTCATTTAATCTTTATTTTGCTTTTCAGATCGAGTGCCATCCAGACACCTGCACCCAGATGACAGCCACAGAGCAGTGGATCTTTTTATGTGCTGCCCACAAGACACCCAAAGAGGTCAGTCAAGACCGCGGGTTACTCAATGTTCACTTGGGTGTCTTTTATTACAATTCTTTATTTAGTTTTATGTGCATCTTATACAATGTTCATGAACTTTATACAATAACAGAAGGGATGTTTCCATTGACATGGTGAGGGACATTCCTGCAGGTGTAATAACAGTCAAACAAACAATACATTATAATATTTTGGTAATTAGACCAAGCAACCTGTTTCTTTTGGTGATAGAACAGGTGATCAGCTCATCAGTAGTTTGTTAATTCTATGAAATGTGGACTGGTGAATAAAGGAAACTCAATCCGACCATAGCTCAGTAAATCTATTCATCTGTAGGCGAAGAGAAAAAGTAATTATTCCCATTAGGTATATGTTATTAACTATATCTATCCATTCTTCAATTGTGGGGGAATCAGGAAGCAGCCAGTGGCCTTGTGATGGTTTTCTTACAAGCAGTTATCAGAACTCCGAATAAATATGTGTTAAAGCGCCCTAAATGAAAGTCACCCTTACCCAAGATAAAAGTGCAGAATTGGAATGGTATTTTCATATTGAGTATTGCACTTAGATGTCTGTTTAATGGTTGTCCTTACGAATTATTCATTTGTCTCTGCCTTTGTCTGAGGCTCTTAATAGCCGCTTTCACACCAAGTACTTTGCCGCACTTAGTACCCAGCACTTAGTTCCCAGCACTTAGTTCCCAGCACTTAGTACCCCCATGGAACTAAGAGCCGATCGCGTTCACACCGGAATAAGTCCCTGAGGGAGGATTACGCAAAGGAAGCCGCTGACGTCACTTCTTCTTCTGCTTTGGGTTTACTGGCAGGCCGCAAACAACTTCACGGCGTGAAAGCGCCTAATGACGTTTCTAAGTGTGTTTTGTGCTTCCTCCACAGTGCCCTGCCATTGATTACACCAGGCACACGCTGGACGGAGCTGCCTGTCTTCTCAATAGCAACAAATACTTCCCCAGCAGGTCAGTCATCATCATCTACAACCTGTAAATACAGCTTTTTATTTTGGTCACTTAGGGGCAGTGAAAACAAAGTGTGAACACAACACAAGCAACACAAATAAACAGCTGAGAATCACTTTAAATATCCATTCATTCTCTGTAGGTTTATTACTAAATGTGACAACTTTGAAAAAGGACATGCACCGGAAATGGCTGTCATATTGAGGGGTGATTGACGGCATTCTTTTGGACGTGTTTATTGTGACGCACAGGGGGGTTTATACGATAATGTGACAATTAGTTGTGGTAAAATAAGAGATATTAAGAGAGGATAAATCACTACAAACCTTGTCATCTTCCTACATATGGACAAATGCTGCGAGTAGTTTCAAAATGTATTGTCGATCGAAGCCTTGCCAACTTCTGATTTTGGGTTTTAGATGTTATACAGTGCACCAACAAGAACTTTAAAAAAAAAAGTATCCTGACACCTTTATTACGAGTTGGTCTTTGAGTTGGTCTTTGAATCGCTTTGTCAGTCACACACCATCCATGAGATATCATTTCATAGATCTACCCCCGTCTGATTGGTCTCTTTGTGTTTGCAGGGTGAGCATCAAGGAGTCATCGGTGGCCAAGCTGGGCTCCGTCTGTTGTCGCATCTATAGGATATTCTCTCATGCCTACTTCCATCATCGCCAGATATTCGACAAGTATGAGGTGGGTCTCCTTGGAAATATCTTATCAACCAATCACACCTAGAATGCTTTTGTTTCTGTGTCTATTCTGGATTGTTTTTAGGTACTAATAATAATAATAATAATACACTTTGGGAAAAGCACCATAAATGACTTTGTTAAAAATCAGAACGCCAGATTGACCTTGTTTTGATCTGTTTTTCTGCCTACAGAACGAGACGTTCCTGTGTCACCGGTTCACGCGCTTCGTCATGAAGTACAACCTGATGTCCAAGGACAACCTGATCGTGCCCATCCTGGAGGAGGAGGTGCAGAACACCTCGTCAGCGGGGGAGAGCGAGGCCTAAACACACTGCTGCCACAAAGGGAGACACATGTAACACACACATGACATGAGGAGACACATTCACACACCTTGCATACACAGTACACACATATATAATATATATATATATACACACTACAGTGTCTACAATAAGGCTCCTGTCTCGTAACACTGTCCATGTCCCTCCACCCTTGTCACCTGTGTCTATCTCAAAGGAAGTGAGGGGTAGCGGGAGCAGAGTTCAGCCATGCCTGCAGGACAAGTTGACGTTTTCTATCCTCCTCCCTCTCGCTCTGTGTGTTCAGATCCACTCTGGGGGTCTGGGTGCAGCCCCTGCTCTCACACTACTCCTCCTGGGGAAACCCCTTTTACCTTTAATGTTCTTTAAGCAGCTGGATTTGCAAAAATGTAATCATGGTGACCTGTATTGTTGACAAAGGCACACGCTGACAGCCCCTCCCTCTGTATATAACCCTCCCCTCCCCCCCTCTCTTAATTCACTATCATGTTTTCTGATGGTGCTTCACTTTTTCGTGTCTGCTTCTGTTTCTCTATTTGCTTATTGTGTTGCCTACCAGCCTGTTTTTCGGGGGGGTCGTCCTATGAAATGGATCAATAAATTAGCCTGCTGACTTAAAGGGATAGTTCAGATTGTGTGTGGGTTGTATGCATATCCATAGTTCAGGTATGACCGACAGTAACTGCTCTCTAAAAGCCACCAAACTCCATTGTCAGAAACCAGTTATTTTACATCGCTGAACACAGAAGTTTCTCGCTTTCTGTTGCCTCAATTAGTACGTTTTTTTTGGTGCTATTTTGTGACTTTGGTGTTTAAAATAGTTAGTTTGGATTCACTGACGTCACACGATTTACACAAAATAACTAACTGATAGAGGAAGAAGTAGAACAGCAACGCCTTTTTGTTCTGCGATTTATAAAATCACTGCTTTTATCAATGGCGTCTGGCTTTGGCGAGAGCATCAAAAAATGCTTTGGATGCTCGTTTGACGGCAAGGTTAAGCAGAGAAAACATCGTCATGTACTGTAGGTAATACACTTTAATACAACCCTACTTTAAAACACAAACCATCCCTTTTTAATGATGCCAGTGAAACACGAAACGTAGGTGTGTGTGGCTTGTGTGGTAGTGAACAAAGACAAACGTAACCGTGCAGTCATTTACGTGTCGGAGCACAACCTCTCCCCCCCTTTCTTTTTACCCTCCCCCTCATTAAGTTATTTTGTGGGAGGAGTCTTGTCAATCCAAACCCACTTTTTTTTTAATGGACTAAAACAATTTTGTTACTGTCGACATTTTCATGATGTCTGTTAATAAAAAATACCTATTATTCAGGTGTTTGTGTGGTTGTGTTATCATTCATGGGGCTTTCCAGTGATGGGTGTGAACCAAATGTGTGATTTCCAGTAACTGCAGCGTTAAGACCAAAAGTAAAACAAAACATTTTGGAAAAATAGGAATAAGCATTTCCAAAAATGACATGTTTTTTATTTGTATTCTGCTTCAATCCATATTTGTTAGGCTTTTTTAAATTTGTATATTTGTATATATATATATACATATACAAATATATATAAATAAATATATATATATTTGTATTTGTATATATATTTGTATTTGTATATATATATATATATATGTATTTGTATATATATATATATTTGTATATATATATATTTGTATATATATATATATATATATTTGTATATATATACAAATATATATATGCAAATATCTTTATATATATATATACAAATATATATATACAAATATATATATACAAATATCTTTATATATATATACAAATATATATATACAAATATATATATACATACATACATATACAGGGTTGGGTGAAGTGTTTTGCCCAAAATACCCAAAATACCTCATCTGCACTTTTCCCCATAAAATGAATTTTAATCAATACTTTTAGATGTAAATGGTTTATTGTATCATTACTATGGGTCTCTGAAACAATCATACTTTTACCACACTGTTATCAGACTTTTATCAGACTTTTAGCACTCTTTTCCCCGCAGAAACGACTTTAAACCATCAGTGTCACTATTGTGGGGATGTAGGAATGTACCTGTGTGTGGTGCAGAGCCTCCTTGCACTTTAAATCAATTGATTTGCCTTTTTACTTATCGTATTTTCTACTGTTAATGCACTGTGCTCATGTCGGGTGATGCGCTCCCTGGAGCCCTCCTGTGGGGAAACTTGGAACTGCACTTAAATCACTTGGTGCTTTTTAAGCCATTTAAAATAGTTTTTCTCACTTTTAAAATACTTTCTGCCCTAGAAATGATTTTTAATCAGTATTACCATTATTTAGGGGCTGTATGAACATGTATTTGAGCATCCCTGCACACTTTCCTCCTATTTAAAACACTTTTCAGTGAGGTGCTGCAGCCTGATTCTCTCCTTTTTCTCTGCCCCTATTTAAAACACTGTCCCTCCTATTTAAAACACTTGCTAGAGGTGAAATCTCTATTTCAGCCCTGATTTTGGCACATCTTGTAAATTAGTTAAATTTAGCCTTGTGTTTTTATTTAAGTCGCTGTTCATTGTTTGTTATATAAAGCAGATTTAATGATATCCTATGGACGCTGATGTGTGGATGTTGTGTCCTTTTGATAACTTTGTTGAGCTTGTTTTTAGCTGCATGTCTTTTTAAAGTCCCTGTGTGTGAACTGGTTCAGCTGATAAGGCTGGTTATGAATCAGAGGGAGCAGCTGCAGACAGGGAGGGAAGTGAAAGTTTGAAGTCAAACTGCCAGACACCATTTTACAGCTCGACAGGAGGAGAACAACAGGGTGAGTGTTAACACCAGGATCTGCTTTCTAACACATTTATTATTTACTCTGTCAAACTGGATGTCAAAAAATAACTTCTTGGTTAACAATCTGCGTCCTAGAGTCCAATGAGACTTCTGCAAGTGTTGTACACTTTTATTATTTCCTGTTAACTGATTCATCAGAGTTACATAACATGTGACAGCCCAGCACAGACAAAATGGAGAAAGGCCTGTCTGAAGTCTGATTTCATGTAATTTAACCAAGTATATTATTAAGGTGTGTGTGTGTGTGTGTGTGTGTGGTGTGTGTGTGTGTGTGTGTGTGTGTGTGTGTGTGTGTGTGTGTTGTGTGTGTGTGTGTGTGTGTGTGTGTGTGTGGTGTGTGTGTGTGTGTGTGGTTGTCTGTGTGTGTGTGTGTGTGTGTGTGTGATCTCTCAGACTGGAGAAGATGAGTGATTTAAAAGATGAGGAAGAGGACAAATCTTCAGTCTCCAGCGGTCTGTCTCTGAAGAGTGAGCGGTCTATGGGGCTTCCTCCAGACTTCAGTAATGAACCTGGACCCTCAGACACAAAGTAAGAGTTTCTCCTGTAAACTGACCTGAAGAGGATCCAGTTTGTTGGTATCTGATAATCTAAACTGTTTAATGAAACCCAGTATAGTACATTAACAAAGCTGAATTGATCTCTTGCTTCTTGTCATCATCAGAGATAGTAAATAATCTACTAGTGAAATCATCCTCACACTCTACATGTTGGACTTTGTGTTAAATTAAGCAAATAAAATGCAAATATGTAAAACGTTTCACACTCGAATGCATTTTAACAACAGAAACCCACAATAACGACTCAAGAACTCTAAACATCTTTAATAAGGTGAACAGTCATAGATCAAAAGCTGCTCTTTAAATAAACTAATGATGTTTAAAACATGTGTTGTTTCCACAGACAGAGAGCAGAGTCTACGGTCTCCATGTGGTCTCTGAAGAGTGACCGGTCTAAACAGTGGCTTCCTCCAGACTTCAGTAATGAACCTGGACCATCAGACACAAAGTAAGAGTTTCTCCTGTAAACTGACCTGAAGAGGATCCAGTTTTTATGTAATCTAATATATTAAACTGTTCTTTAATGAAATCATGTGAGCAGTTTGTAAAGGGAAAACGCAGCAGAGTAAGCTAACATTATCTAAGGATATTTCGGTGTGTGTGTGTGTGTGTGTGTGTGTGTGTGTGTGTGTGTGTGTGTGTGTGTGTGTGTGTACAGTAGCTGCCGGGTCCGCATGAGCTCAGCCCCCTCCTTTTTTATTTTACCAACTTCAGCACTTTATGGCGCGTTTCCACTACAGCCAATGGTAGAGGGCTGTGACGTCAGCGGCCCGTCTTTGGTTGCGTTTCCACTTGGCCTAGTACCGGCCGGCGGGTCCTAATTCACAGTTTTTCTGGCCTCATAAAATCGTGGGGCCAGGGGCCAGAGGCAACGAGGCTGAGTCGGGCTGAGTATGCTAAACTAGAGAGAGCGTCGCTGGCAAGGGGGCAACAACTACAACAAGATGGACATATTTGACCGTGATTTAATTATAATACACGTTTCAAAATGATGCCGAAGTAACAACATACTGATACCGGTTAGTAAAAACCATGAATTAATGCTTTGTCAAGTCTGCAGACAGACGGCAGGGGAAAAAACCTTTTAAAATGCTTGTTTTCTAAATGGAGATTGGCTAAGCTAACGCAGTATATGCCCCGACCGTCCACACTCACAACAACGGCCTATACAGACATAAATAAAGCAGCGACTGTATTCACCATGACACAGGCAGTCTGTGGTTTGTACTTGTTTAACTTTTGTCTAGTTTCTGAACATATATGAGGAGCTGTGAGCTCTGAGTGCTAACAGCTAACGGCTGTGTTGTTTTTCTGGGGTCCTCTGAAGATCACGTCACGGCTCCGCCTACACTGCGTTACTATAGATACTGCCCCAGTTCCTAAACTGTAATGGAAATGCGCCATAAAGTGAGCCAGTCCTAACGAGGCCCAGCCATACCGAGCGGGGCTGAGCGAGGCCGTGTAGTGGAAACGCGACATTAGTAACAGGAAGTGAAATAGAGGGATATGAGGCATGGCTAGAATGGGTGATCTGTTTGGTATTTTGAGCAAAACACTTCATACACATGTTTCTTATATATTTGTATATATCTGAGACCTATGCTATTGCCTAAAAATAGCATGATACAGTAGGTGACCTTTAAAGGGCCCATGTCATGGCCATTTCCACTGATCATAATTACATTGTTGAGGTAAACTAAAATAGATTTATACTGTGCAATTTTCCAAACTCACATTGGTTTCGCATACAGCATCTCTGTAAAGTATGTGTATTCAGCAGTATTCACTCTCTCCACTAAACGACTCGTTGGAGCTCTTGCCCCCCCCTCCCTGTGAGCCTAGTGTGCTCCGATTGGTCAGCTCGGCCACTCTGTTCTGATTAGTCAACCACCAGAGAGGCTCTGCCCATGTCTAATGGCGCATTTCCACTACACGGTCGGCCTCGGCCACACTCGGTACGGCTCGGTACGGCTTGGCCGCGTTGGGCCTTAACAGGGCCGACTCACTTCATGCTGCGCTTCCATTACAGTTTAGGAACTGGGGTAGTTACTATAGTAACGCAGTGTAGGCGGAGCCGTGACATCATCTTCAATGAGAACTCCAGAAACACAACACAGCCGTTAGCTGTTAGCACTCAGAGCTCACAGCTCCTTATATATGTCCAGAAACTCGACAAAAGTTAAACAAGTACAAACCACAGACTGCCTGTGTCATGGTGAATACAGTCGCTGCTTTATTTATGTCTGTATAGGCCGTTGTTATGAGTGTGGACGGTCAGAGCATATACTGCGTTAGCTTAGCCAATCTCCATCTAGAAAAACACGCATTTTAAAAGGTTTTTCGCCTGCCGTCTGTCTGCAGACTTGACAAAGCATTAATTCATGGTTTTTACTAACCGGTATCAGTATGTTGTTACTTCGGCATCATTTTGAAACGTGTATTACAATTAAATCACGGTCAAATATGTCCATCTTGTTGTAGTTCGAGCCCTCTTGCCAGCGCTCCTCTCTCTAGTTTATCATACTCAGCCCGACTCAGCCCTGTTTGTTGGCCCCGATAGAAC